AGACAAACTTTTAGATTTGGGAAGCTGAATACAATAACAATAGAGACAAAGGATCCGAGATACATGGAAACACCGGGACAGCTGATGCCATCGTTCCTGGATTTGTTAGCCGTCAACACTTACTACAAATGCCTGGGTAATCTGGCTTCTTGTCTTTTCTTCAACAAAACTTATGGCAATCATGCATGCTGGAGACTAAGTTTTTATGTGGCCGCATTAAGCGACACTGCCATCCTAGAATGTGTAAAAATACCTAAACACAGCCAACATGAGTTCGCATATCTAAATGCAAAGCAGCAGCCATTTATCTTGATCTGACAGTTTCAAATTTAGCCCAAAAAAAGTACGATCTCACCGGCAAACTTCGTACATCGCTATCTGAGCTGGTAATTTTTCAACTTTCAATTTTCAGCACCATACAATGCATGTGCTAATGGTGGTTTCTTGTTGAATGGTAAATCGGAATGCATTTGTCCATCGGGATACGGCGGTCCACTGTGCGACCAAAGAGTAATCTTTTTTCTGTTTCAACTCTTCCAGTCGTTTAGGTAACTAGATATTCCAAAAAACCTTGGATCAACTTTCGTGTTGTTCCAAACACAAACAGCTCGTATCATCAGAGCTGATTAGGACAAAGTGCTGAAAGGGTTTTTTTTTTATTTGTAGCTTTCCAGTTAAAATCTCTACCTTGCCCCAACTATAGTTGAAGACGGCTGACCAGAGTTCTAGGGAAATTCTCACTTTGGTCCGTGCTTTATGCGGATGGTAACCGTTGTATTTTTAAACAAATATTAACTTCAATCAACATACAAGACACACATCAAGCGATCGGAGGAAATAATTAAATTGGTGATTAATTACCATGATTTTGTAATTTCATGCACTTATTCTCGTGATAACAGTGTCTAAAATGACTGCTAATCCGTAATCTGATTCTTCATCTGTTCTGCAGCTAACAACTTTTCCAATTGCTTTGACCAGTGCGCTGTATCGCCTGGCGGACAGTCTGCTGCAGCCATGGCATTCGTTCTGTTTCCTGATGGATTCAACGATTCTCCCGATCTTAGTCTCTGATAATGTGTCTTACGACTGTACGATTTGCAATAATATTATTGCACAAAAATGATCAATTTTCCAGCCGAATGATGGCGGTGAAACGTGGAAAGCAACCGATGAATGGCAGAGCAAGCACGTCACTATCAAAATGCCACCCTTGGCCCCTACCGTTTATAGTGGTACAACAAGGAAGACTTATTGGGTCGAAGCGGTACTTTTCTGGATCCTAATTAACTCATTCGAATACCTTATATGTATTTTACTTGACATTTTTGTTAGTTTAACAAAAATATTGCTTCCTTTTGACTGAACCCAGTTTATAAGCTTAATTTTATTGTTCGCTTTTCATCTTTCAGACAGATCCGAATGCTGTCGTCGAGGTGGAGCTAGTGCAAGCAAAGGCGAATTGTGCTGGAGGCTGCTACCAGGGAGCTGTTGAAGCGAAATTTGCTGAAAATCCACAACTCACGGGAGCCAAGTAATTTTTTGCGTTCATTTGTAAGTGCAAAAACGCTTACTACAACGACCCTGTCTGTGTGTGTATGTTTGTGCGTGTGTGTATGTGTGTGTGCTGTGTTTGTAGGTGTGTATATGTGTGTGTTTGTGTTCGTTTGTCGGGGATTTCAACTTGGCAGTCAAGCAAGCTCGGGTGCAAAAATTTTGCTAGTTTGTTCCCCGGCCAAGTGCCACCTCAAGGCCACTGTACTATCCTTCACGCACTTCTGGGCCCCACATGCGAGAGCGTGAAAGTCTTGGCGGGAAAATTGTTAACTCGCGAGAGAGAAAAGCTGGAAGGCTGAAACTTTAGGAGAATGTTCCCTATCATGTACTACTAAAAGTTTGCAAATTCAGCTGCTTAGGACTGCTCGGAGCTCGAGTACAGCCACGTAAAAGCATTGGCAGGAAAATTACCAACTCGGGAACGAGAGAAGCTAAGAGGCTGAAACTTCAAAGCATTTCAATACTCATGTATGACCAAAGGTTTTCAAAATCAGCGCCATGGAACCGTTCGGGACTCAAGAATGGTCAGGTGAAAATTCCGACGGGAAAATTGCTATCTCGGAAAAAAGAAAAGCTGGAAGGCTGGAATTTTAAGGGGCTGACAAAAGTCTTTTTGCCTGCAGTACCCTCACCGCATTTTGCTAACTTTCGCGATACTATAATTACCTTGACAGTGCTGATGAAAGCTTCGATTTTACAGCCGCATCACAGTAATGCCGAGTAATTTGTATTACATCACCCGCATCAATTCTTACTCGCCGTTCTCATAAATATGCATAGTCAGTTTGGGTTTTGCGCACCCCCCTTACTAATGTCGACAAGGCGAGTAACATTTCTTAATCACCGGATTTTGTTTTGATGTGTGATGGTATCCTGCACACCCGCTCATCTGCCAGACCCTTTCTATTCTTATCGGCTTCTGCATGCTAAAAACCCATTAATGAAGTATTACCCGTGTGCTATAGATTTTGCTGCGTGAATGGAGCGGAGCAAGGACCAGTGATGGTGTCGCACTCAAAAATATTTCCACTCATCCTCACAAACGTTGGAAACCAAAAACCACCACCAACAGTTATGGTAGCACGATTTCGACAGGTATCCATTTGCCTTGTGAGAGTTTCAGATATAATATCTCGAGCACGGTGATAGTTCAAATTCACATTCATTTCTTCGCAAGATAGAATTGGCCTTTGTTCCATTTAATTTTTTTTTTTTTTTTTCAAAGCCAAAAGATTTCCACCGCTGACTCCAACCAGTTTACTCCTCCTTTGCAGAAACTAGGAAGAAAAAATCGCATGTCTGGTAAATGACGCATAATTGGATTTTCCTAGATTCAGCTGGGATTAGTTCTAATTCCATTACAGTTTGAGAAATCCAGTATGCTAGTTTCCATGGTTCATTTTATGCTTTTCTGCATAACCAATGCAGTGGCTGATGGCTTTCAAATGAGTAACCAGATAAGACAAGAAGCTGGAACATATTAGGATTTCTGCTGTTTCTACGTGAGCTAATGGGCTCATATTGAGTTATCATGCACGCCTAAGTCATGCCTACGAACACTATCAATTCGAGACACCGTCGGCACTTATATCTCGAGCACCAGAATGAACAGGAGACCGCATTTTTACAAAAAATTTTCCTGTCCATTTGTAGTTCTGTAAGCGCAAAATGAGCTTTTGCTTACGCGTGTGCCACAAGCAAAAACGTATTAAATGTTCAAATTGCACTGCTTTCGGATTCCTACTGTCTCTTGATAGTCCGACGGGAAAGGGTGCTGAAAAACCTTTCACGGCACTAAAAACATAATATCAGCTTTCGAAAACGCACATTTCCAGTGTACGGTTGGAGTTAAGGGTGCGAAAGCACTGGTTTCCTCCTTCCATGATAGTCATGTGTGTTAGAGGATTGAAATTTCACGAGGCCCCACTGTGTAACAGTACCGAAGCAGTCAGCGTCTTGCACTCACCACGTGCAATTAAAGACGAATACGAACATCGTCACATGGCTGCACATACTAAACTGTAAAGCAACAGCTACTCATAGTGTTAGCGATTTTACTGCTGTGTGAAATAGCGTAAAAACACATGACTGCCGCGGCAATCTCTGTGTTTGCCACAGCTGGTTTGATTATAGACTCATAATTACAGAAAGTGAAATTCACTATCAAAAGCAAAAATACTCATCGGACTAGGACACTCTGAACGAAATTCACAACAATAACTGTGGCTTCAAATTGCTGGTTTATCCTGCATTTCAATTTGAAAATTATTCTCGTGCCTAAATTCACTGAAGATTTGGCTGAAACAAGTTCTAAATCACATTTTCCAGATACCGAAACCCAAAAAGGATGAATCAGTGAAACGCACAGTGAATGAACCATCGCAACCAGAACAATCACAACCTTCCGCGCTACTGAAGGGAAAATCTGAAGCTGAATCACAGTCGGATACATCGAGAGAACAAAGACCTCGATTTAGACCAGGAAGTGAATTGGAGCGTTGGCTATCGAGAGTTCAGAACCCACGGATAAAATCGGGAAAGCCGGATTCACTCGATATGAAACTGAAACCACTGATAACATCGAGGAGACGAGATCTATCAGAACACGCATCGTCATCAGAATCGGATGATAACTACCCAGATTCGTTGACTGATCTCACCCATGACAATAGCTATTTTTCGAGCGAGCTTCTGAGTGATATCACCTCAAACCATGGATCGCAAGAATACTTTCGGACTGCTACCAGGGATGATTCTTCATACGGTGGTTACCACACTGCTGTAGGAGATTACTTTTCAGACGATGACTATCAGACTGCTGTCAGAGATGATTCTTCAGAAGATGACTATCAAACTGCTATTAGAGATAGCTCTTCAGAGACTGACTTGAAAACTGTTTCCAAAACTGA